TTTTGAAAGTTGTACTGCGGAACTGTGTTATCCACTGGCATTCCTAGTATTGGATCTTCCTTCAGTTCATTGTACAGTTTCAAGTATTCTGCACCGTGATTGGGGTTTGCCCCTGCATTAGCTTGTGTGTCACCAGTCGAGCTTCTCTTTGTATATAGATGTGTAATGGTGGAAGTCTGAGTAGGACCTCAAGTTCTGCAGTTGGGGTCGTTCTCATGGCTCCCGCGACACTTAGGCACACCAGCCTTTGTATGTCGCCTAATAGCCTAGCCGTACCCGATTGCCTTGTTCTTGTCCACCAAGTTACTCTACTCTATGTTATCATGTGTCTCACTATCCTTGTATATAACCAGAGTGTCATTTTTGGGTTCAGCCCCAATTTTTCCCGTACATTCTTCTGCAGATTCCAAGGGCCATATGTGGTTCTTTGGATGTGGAGGTTCCACTTGAGCCTGTGATCGAAAGTCACACCAAGTATTTGACTTCCGTGGCGAAAGGTATGTCCACTTCATTGAGTATTGGTGGCTTTAGTCCTCTCATCACTCTTTTCTTTGTGAACACGACGACAGTGGTTTATTGGGCATTCACTGAGAGGTTCTCATGCTCACACCATCTGCTGACGATGTTCAAGGCTCTTTGCATGCGCTCCGAGATGAAGCCTGCAAATCTCCCTTTTGTGACTATCACCAGATCGTCAGCATATCCCAGGCAATATATGCCTTCTTCAGATAGCTGTCTGAGATCGTCTACCAGGGTTGTCCATAGCAATGGCGATAGTACGCCTTTTTCCCCAGTGCGTCTATAAGTGACTCCGTGGAGACATTAAATGCACCTTCGATGTCTAGAAAGGCAGCTACTGCAAATTCTTTGTCGTCCAGCGACTTAGATAGTTGTCTGTTTAAGGGCCGGTTTATCAATATGTAGTTAAATGCTCCTGTTAGCTACCTCGAAGCTAAGCTTAGCTGATAGTCAATGTTGCAGTTACTATTCAAATCGTTTATCATACCCTGACTGATGCTAATGTTTAATAACTGTTAGTTAACTAAGGTTGGCATAAGTAACTATTTCAGGGGCTTGTTTTTATTGGAGGATTGATTTTCAAAAATGACAACTGCTAACAAAAAGTTCATGAGTTATACATAATGACCTATATGAGTTGAGAGGGCATATGTAAAACGAAAATGAGCAATAAAAGAACATCCAATTTTACCGAAACAGACAGATCACTCCTAATAAAAATTGCCAATTCCCATAAATTTATCATTGAGAACAAAAAAAAAACTGATGCCATCACATGGAAGAAGAAAGAAGAGGCCTGGAAAAGAGTTGAATTTAATTTTAATTCCTCTACATCAGGACCTGTAAGTCTCTACCTCATCTAATTCTTTGAAAGCATCATTACGTTCATTAACAATGTAAGGTCTTCTTTGAACTCCAATATATCCTCATCTTCGTCATTCAACAAATGGAAAACTTCTTTAATCAAACAATTATAGTAATTAACCCTTTACTTGCAAAAAGTATTTCTCAAATTATCACAAAAAACATAAATAACCTAATTTCGCATGCGCGACCACATAACCACAGAATATCGGAACTGATATTCTGTGACATAACTGTCAGCTTAAATAAAAAAACTATCACTTTCTAGCGACTGTTACGGTCACTGAGACTTCAGCTACCAGTTGATGGTAACATGATAACGAAAAACAGTTTGACTAGGAGCTAAGACAAAACCATTAGTCAAATGAGGTTAGCTGGCGATTGATAAACCGGCCCTAAGTCGTCCAGCGCTAAATCTGTCGATTTCCCAGGCTGGATATGCATATTTACGAGCACTAAGAGGTCTTTCCTTCAACGTTTTGTCTCTCATGTATCGATCCAGTAACCTTTCAAATGTTTTCATTAGAAAGGACATTAGACTGGTAAGTCTGTATGACTTGGGCGTTTGGTCTAATAGTTTGCCTATTTTGGGCAAGAAGACTACTTTCACCTTTTGCCATGAGTTTGGAATATATCCCCAGGCCACGCAGGATCTGAGAATCCTGCTCAGATGTGGTATCAGCACATCCAGTCCCTTTTGTAGCAGAATCGGGTAGATTCCGATAATGGAAAAATTTCCACTGAAGTAATAATTTTGTTGAACAAATAATGAATAGTAGTTGAACGAACAATGTTTATAACTCACTGTATCTTGCCTTTATAGTAAAGCATTTCAAGAGTTCAAAATAAATATGAATAATGATGAACCAAATGAAATTAAGTTACAAATCAAAATCCTTCCCTCTTGTTTGGATTTGGTTGTTGAATTCAATCAACCAAATTACTTTTCTCATCTCTGACACTTTAATATGCTTTTTACGTCAAATATTTTTACATAAAAAGAAAATCATTAGACCACCGATTGTTGCCATCTCCTGCTGATGCTGATTCGATTATTGCCTGAATTTTGTAGATAAAAAGCATTACATAGTTTTTGTATTGAGAAAAGTACTTTTCGGCAGAATCAGAAATACAGAGAATTAGTAATATAATTTACATGAATCTCCGATCGAAATAGATCAAGTTGTTGAATAATTTTGAGAATATAGTTTGTTCAACAACCCAATTTCTTAATACATGAAATAAAATTTCTATCATTTTCTCAACTGGATTACTTACGCCGGTTTACTTACGTTTCACGATTTTTTAATGAGCTGCTGATGGGAGTCTTACGGATAATATTTCATATTCAATACTGATTATGTAAATGCCATGGAAAATTTTTCAACATGAGAATGAGCAAAATATAAATAAAAATCCAGAAGTTTTAGTAACAAATTTACTCAAAATTATTAAATTATAATAGACTTCTACAAATATTTAAATAAAAATATAAATTATTCACCAATGTTTAATCCTGATCTAACACAATAACATATTTTAGTATTTTCCAGTCTCTTGATACTCTATAAGAAATTAATGAATAAAAATAAGGGAAACGAAACCAAATTAATATTTTCTATAAATATTATTTTCATTAATAACATAGTGATTGATTTTTTAGAATACTGTTGAAGTAAATTTCACAATGAATTTGAAATAAAAACATATGTCCACAAAAGCAACTTCTCTATTCTCTATGGTTTTCAACAATAGCCTCTGGGTAATCAATAGATTTGGTGGAAGTTCCTGATGTTGAAGGCGAGTTCGATACAAGAAGTGAAGATGTGATATCTATCAGAATTCGATTTGGAAACCTTTCACTGAAGTAATGTATGGGCACGTGCTTGAAAAAAACGATGCCTGTTTATCCAATACATGCTATTCATAATTACTTCAAAATATGAAATGAAAGAAAGTATATAAATATCAACATACCTGTGAAAACACTGAAAAACTTCAAACCACGTATAATCATAAAGAAACTGTAAACCTCTCATTTCCTTGGAAAATGCAAAACACATTTTATTCTTGTTCCATTCGTGATTAGTTTACGGTTCTTGCGCAAACGTGCCGACCGGCACTGTAATTCTTAGGAGTATTTCAACTATACCATTTCTTTCAAGGAAATAATTCAATTTTTCAAACCAACAAATAATAAAAATATTGAAATGAAATTATCCATAGGCTTGAAATTATTTCCAAAATTAGTTAAATGTAATGATATGTATTGTTGAAGTGAAAATAAATATTCAGCTGATTCAATTATATATTAGTGTCAAAACAGCACCCCATAGTGCTAAACTGAATTGGAAAGTTTTCATTCAACAGACGTACTTTTGATTTGATGAAATTATATTGTTTGACTCAACTGAATTATTTTGAGGACTTAATAAATTTTATTCTTGAAATGATCCACAATTCATTTGACTAAGTAAAAGACCTCTTTAATTGAAATATAAGAGAAATTAAAATGAGAACTTCATTTAGTCTCCGCAAAATTATCATCTAATCGATACAATACACACGTCGTTTGGAATGATTGATATTTGATCAAAATGATTAATTAAATTAGACTAAATAAATTTCTTTAAAGTAACAAATCTTTTTTTCCGTGGACCAGATTTTGAGGCAAAAAATAAATCGTTCTACCAAAGTGGTATTGAATAATTTTTTAAATACTACAATGGATTAGAACAACGATGAAGTAATGACTTGAAACTTTGTCAAGTCAAATCATGGTCTTTTTGTACGTTTTTTCTTTCTATCATTTAGGAAATTGTAGTAGCACACGAAAACTATCCCGTGACGACGGCTACTGTATATAATTGTTGATCCTTGTTCGCAAATAGTTTGCTTTTTACATTAGATTTCAAATATTTAGCTTTGAAGACGGTGCTGCAGAAAGAGGCATTCGTACACGAATGTTCACTAACGAAATATTCGTAAATTAATGGATATTTGATAACGCAAAAGTGAATCTTGCGAAAGAGTTAAAGCAAAGTTAAAGTCTTAAAAGCCAAAAAACACTCGAAAAGTTTTTTTACTACTTTATATGTACCACATTTTTTTTATTTTGAACCCCGTTGAATACGATTGATACATCTTTCTATTTTCCCAGCATTTCATTTCAGAAAAAAAACCGTATTAGTTAATTGGATACGTTTGCATGGCTCACGTCACAGAATCTACGTATCATCAGATCTTATCTTGTTACGACGTAGATGTTAATCAAGTAATTATTGTGACTTGGTTAATAAAAACAATTTGTTTTGAACATTTAAATTAGGTATATAAGTAAAGTGTTTGGCATTTTGACATTCCTCGGATAATAAACAATTGGATCTTGTCATTGATTTTAGAAGGAATCGAAGAATAGGTACCATACTAACATTAGTATGTTTACAATTTTTAAAAATTGCTTGATAAAATACATTTCAATAAGTTGTCTGTTAATTTTGTCTGTGTCCAGTCTCAGTTTGTTTGTGACCTAGTGCGTTCGTGCCAAAAATATTCGGAAAGTGTGCTTGAATCTGAATTAAATTCAAGGATAAGGGTAAGAACATTCTAATACTCACAAGTTTCTCAAAATTGATCTAGTTTGCTTGCTCAGGGTTCCTACCCACTGATATTATTTCCCTATTTTCATGTGATTTCCCATCGGTAACTACGAAGGATTTTGTTTCTGTTCGAATCTTGTAACGCTGCCAACTTCGTTTATTTGATATTACTGTGAAAATATATGAATGAGTCCGAACAAAGCTTAATTACCTCATGAATTCGTCAAATATTACTTGCTATTTTCTACCGAATCTACACACAGTTTCTAGAAAAAGAAACAAGGGAACGTTTGTGCGTAAAAGTCGGTCGCTTTAAATAAAGATCCAATGCCGCATGACAGATGGCTGAGTTGAAAACAAACTTGACCTTGACGCCAAGTAAGATGTATTGTGGACTGACTAGCGGCCGGCGCGATGGATAAATACAGAGTGATCAAAAAAATCCGTCCAAGCAAGTTATAAAGTGGAGTACTTAGTCGTTCGTCATGGGCCATATTGAAAATAACTCCACAATACAAATAACAAAAACAAATCGTACCACTTGAACGTTAGTATGAATTGAATTGATAGAAATATGAATTGAAAAATCTAGTAATCGTTACTACAAAATAGAAATCGAAAGCTTCCTAATGCTACTGTTTCATATCATTCTATCAAAACATACAGTATCGTACATCATGTCAGCGTAGTAAACGAAATAAAAAATAATCATATTTATTGATTTACCTACTCAAGTTTTGACGTGAAATGCTAATATTGTACCTGTTTCTTAGAAGTAATATTTAGTATAGTCGAAGTAAACGATATTGTGTACTTTTGAAGTTGACGGCACTCTCAAAGGCCAAAAAAACCAATACATAGAAATGAACTGGCTGCGAACTAGTCCACGCGGACTGTAGAATTGGCGGTTCCTATTGAATAATTTTTACTAACCGAGTGTTATGATTGGCTGAAGAGTCATAAAATTTAATTTGAAGTCACGTTACGGTGACAAATGAAATCGGGGAATGCGGGGATGGTTATCGCTGTCATGTTCAACCTGTTTAAAAACCTGTTTAAAAATAGTAATAACGAGTGTGATAACAACGCAGACGTTTTCCCGTGTAGTGATTCCAATAGCGATGGTGAACAATGCGAAAAAGAGATACCAGTGAATAACATTCGGATGCATTTGAACATTGAAACACAGAGAGTATGTTTCAATGTATATAAGAATCTACATCTCGAGTTTGGTTTCGAGGGAAACAAACTATTACAAGCAACATCAGATTTCCTTTTTCAACTGTACGGAAAATAATCAAAAACAAACCTTATGAACGCAAGACGCGATGTGATATAGGATTACAAACCAAACCTTAAGGTGTTCATCAAATAAAATCAATTGACAAAACAATATACGACTGTTATAAAAACAATAAGATTCCTGCAACTGAAATCATGAGGAAGAAATTGAATACTTCCGGGCATAACGTGAGCTGCTGTGACAAAAGTATTCAGAATTGGATAAAGAAACTAGGATTTAGATTTGAAATAATTAACAAACGTCAAGCAGTTATGGAAAACAAGAATAGTGGAATTGTGTAACAAATACTTAGAACAAATAACTGAATATAGACAAGAACAACAGCAAATTTTCTATTTGGACGAATCTTGGTATAACACTCACGACACAGTTACGAAAGGGTGGACTGATGGTTCGAGAATGTGTACGCATAACATGCCTGCAAACAAAAGATCCCGACTAATCATTGTGCATTGCGGAGGAAGTACCGGATTGGTTCCGAATTCTTTGAAATTATATGGAAAATAACTTGAAGACTGCAGTTTTGACAGTCATACCAAAAACCAACTACTTGAAGTTTTACAGACAAAACATTTGAAAAAGTGTATGCCGTTGAAAGTATTGCTGAAAAGTATGGACACACCATACTGCGACTTCCCCCTTATTTTTGTGTTTTCAATCCCATCGAGTTGATTTGGGGAAAATTGAAATTACTTGAGTAAGTAGTATTCAGAAGTATTTTTATTATCACCGTGTTATTTGAATCCCTACTTTCCAACTCACCTATATGAACGAATATGAACGAATAATACCGAATCTATACCTATTTGTTTATGCAATATATACTTGTTTTACAAGATTTGATCATTCATCTAATAAGTTTTTGTTACTACCTACTGTTATATAAAAGATATTACAGAATAGTTTGATGTACCGTAAGTGATGAAGCTACCGTGTAGTAAAGCGCGTTTTAAATAAAATTCATTGTGAAAATTCTATAAATACTATCATGGATAGTGTTATTAATTTTCATCAAGTAACTGGTAATAATTTGAAAACTGAAAGGTTTCCCACAGGACTACCAACGAAACATGCAATAGCAAAAAACGTGTCACATTATTTCCACCTTGAATATCTACAGGTGTTAGTGTTTTATCGATCATGTCTACGTCAGTTGCCTTATCAGTGTCGCATGGGAAAGTTAATTACACCTCTATTCATAAAACAGTTTATGTTATCACATCGCGTACCTAATATATAATGATCTCGTTAAGGTTAACAAATTGTCACTGTCAATTGCATCGATGTTTCGGATTTTTCATTTAAAAAAAGATAAGAATTCCCCTTCATTTTTTAAAGATAATATTGAAACATTCGTGTATATATAGGTTTTAATAGATTCTTTCGTAATTTTCAAAAATTTCATTGGTGAGTTGAGCTTCTGGGCGTCCAGAATATATCACAAATGAAAACTCATTCACGTTTCTGTGAGGTTATTTCATTGCAATGTTGAAATTCCATGAAATTTGGAATATTATATTGCAATAAACATAAAAGTAGATTGTTTGAATTCGTCTCAGACAAATATTATCTTTAATTTTTTCAGATATTATTTGCACATAAAATATCAATTTAGAATTATGCCGTCTGCATTTCTCCTGACAGTCAGTAGTTGGTTGTATTTAGTTATGAGTACATTGGTTTATGGACAATGATTATTTTTAACCTTGGGAAACTCCAATAATTTGGGTGTTGATAAAGGGGTGTCGTATAATTTGTTTCTTTTTGAATTCAGAGAAAGGTAAGAAAAATTATCAGTTCGTTTTTCCAATTATTTCGTGCTTTCTATGCAGACGCAGACATGCAGTGTTCAAAATGCGAATGCGTTTTCTGATTGAAGCTACAAGTGTTTTATTCAAGAATATAATTTTGCAGTTCTGTTCATTTTATATTCCCATGGTATGTTATAGAGTTGCATTCTTAGTCTATTCTTAAGAATTGGTTTATGTGTCTTATTCCATTTTGCTGTAATTAACTAGCATTACCTAACCAGTAAGTCTGTTTACTTCTCATGTTATTTCTTCACACATCACATCAACATCTGCAAATATGCAAGTCTATATGTTAAAAAAATTCTACACATCACGCACAAGCTGTACCCAATTCAGCTTCAGTGATTACCCTGTTTATTCATATTCATCAAAATATTACATGACATACAGTCTTAAAGATTCATGNGAAAACTATTTCAGAATGAAGATTGATTCAGTGATCACAACAAAAGCATTACCATAAGAAAATAAGTTTCCAAACCGAAATATAAAATTAAAAATTTTATAGGTGTGTTTCAAGTAACTGCAAAAATTTGTTTCGAAAAATATTCTGTCAATTGACACTCTTATCTTTTATCTGAATAGATTTTTTTCGAAACGATTCTTGTCCGTTCTCTTTATCAAATATTAAATAAGTCTCTTCAGTATCACAATTAATAACTCGTTTACTCGATCAAAAGTTACATGAGGAACGATCAAACCCAGGGTTGTTACCAACCACATCAAGGCATCGACATCCATTCAAATTTGAAAATATTTAATGAAAAGGGAACATTTTTAAAGAAACATCAGTTTTTTACACAAAACTTTTTGTTTTAACGTGATAGGCCTTCACGTCTACATTGATGTTCGAATGGAACCTCAGGTATTTTTAGTTTTTTTATATTGATATTCACCGCAACATCAAAATCTGCAGTAGTTTTTCAAAGCGTTTCTAGACAATATTTGAAGATGTCGTTTATCTAAAATTCATATGAACACTGAATGATATAAAAAATCGCTTTTCTCTATTCAGTTTGTATTCCAAACATTCATTATAGAATTGAATCAGATATCATTCACTGGATTGCTACACAATATGCATTTCATCAGTTCGGACTTCCATTATCTAATATGATATAAGTCAATTGATTTGAAATCCCAGAAAGAATCTGTAAAAAAATTAAAAGATTAGCTGAAAAATAACAACAATATTAAGCAAAAAACTGAAATTACAATGAAATAACATACAAGCAACAACCAAAAAAATAAAAAAAATTGAACTATTAATACGAGCTGAAAAAATTAAACAATTATTAATAAGAAACGAAAATTAAAAAATATAAAATTAAAAGATTCCAAACCAAGTTACTTCACGACGTTTCGATTGTTAGTATCCACAATCGTTTTCGGTTGATAGCTTCTTTCAGGGATTTCAAATCAATTTATATCATATTAGACAAAGGAAGTTGGAACTGATGAAATGCACCACGAAACATTGTCAACCACCTTCAAACAAACGCTACACAATATTTTGAATGAAAGAGGTTAAAATGTCACTTACATAGAAGACTGTCATCCTCAATGGTGGACATCCGATGTTTTGGAGTAAGTCACTTGCTTTCAGCAATCACGAATGAGTTGAATCTACTCATGTTAGCGGTGACAGTTTGTAATGACATTCATTCGCTTATTTAATTAACTACTAAGTCATAGGAATCTTGTTAAAACTGAAAGAGTATATTTTTAGGAGAGAATTTATGGGAAAACAGATTTTGGCTTTCTATTTCTCCATCTTCATACAAAAAGTATGGGAATCTTTCAAAGAAAGGAAAAAAGCAATCAATTTCAAAAAATCAACTCTACAAAAATATGTAGATCGTACAAAGAAGGGACTTCTGAACTCTGAAATAGGTGTTCTGTTCGGCCAACGTATCGCGCGCTACACTCATTTAACGGTCGTCATAATCGTACATTGAGTACACTGGTTCAGTAATCGATCGACCAATCCACATGATATTCAACGAGCTTCTAATGCATCAAAAAAGTAACTGATATGGATTTTGGCTGGCGGCGTCATCGGTCCATACTTCTTTGAGAACGACGTTGGCCAGGACATCACTGTCAACGGCGAGCACTATAGGTCGATGATTACCAACTTATTTTGACGTGACTTGGAGGATCTGGACACCAACGTCATGTGGTTTACA